ATGGCGGCGGGTTCTGGCGACAAATTGTTTATATTCTCGCTAAATTCATAAATTTCTATGAAATCTTATTTGAGGCAAGCAAAAATTCAAAGAAATTCTTATCCCAGAATTGTCGCTAAATCTCGGTTGGGAGACGGCTAGCGAAACAGCCAGGAGTCCATTTGATAGGGCACAACATAAGCTGACATTTATAGCAAGATCTATGTTTTCAGGCATGAGTCGCTAGTCGGACTCCTATTTTTACTGCTTAGAAGTTCATAAGCTCACTGTACTTGATTCAAATCGTTCCTTCTCAACTTAGAATAATGAAATACACAGATCCCATAAAATAACAAACCTAATGCTACAAGCCGAAGCATGTTTGATTTGACCCGGAAGTGGATCTTGCTCAGATTGCAAATTTTGCTGATGCAGGCCGCTATATATTCCAAAAATAACTCGGCTGACGTGACAATTTTTTCAGTGACAAACATAGTTAGTAGTTTTCGCCCTCTCGTCTGACTGAATTCAAGAAACGCAAACTATTTGAGTCATATCGTAACAACGACTTGATAAACAACGCTTAAAAGATCGCAGAGTTCTCAGACTCATTTAATTCTCTGTACAGGTTACAAGATGTTACGCCGCGGTAGAAGACAGCCCTGGCGGGCTTCTGGCAGATCTTTAAACGATGAGAAAAGTATAGCCCAAACATTTATCCAGTTTCTTGAGAAAAATAACTTAAAGAATGATATGGCCGAGTCTGAGTTAAGGAACATATATCAGTCGCAGTTCTGCTTGCAGCATCGTACGCCGACTGCTCCTTTCCCAAGGGTCCTTAACGCACTCAGATATCATTTAAACCTGTGCCAGCAACTCGGAGATCGCGTTATTTTTGGTGGCGGAGAAGCTGCGGCCCTTCAGATGCTGTCCATTGACGATCCTGACGAGTCTTGTTCTGAGGAAGATGAATTTTCCAAGCTAATGAATCTGGTGACGCCTCGCTGCAAGATTTGTAAGAGGACATTTAGAAATCGAGCTACCTATGAGAGTCATCTGGCTACCGTCACTCACCGTCAACAGAGTATTCTAAAAAGTATTCGGCAATCAGTAGAAAGGTGAGTATTATCGAGCCCGCGTATGCACACAAACCCAACAAAGGTTTACCCCGGCCCTGATATATTTCTTGTTTTTGCCGCCACATTCGAAGTCATAATATAGAGAATCAGTTTACAAAGATTTTGAGGTACGTAAAGCCAAACTGCTGTAACTCTGGTACATGGTTATTACTGAACGCTTTATTGCAAGTGTTTGTACATGTGGGTCGGTGAAAATCAAGAGCAAAGAAAGGTTTTTAACCAGGCGCCGCCTGGGGAAAGCCGCTCCGGTTTTGCAAACTAATTTTGCCTTTTCTCAGGCGGCGCCTCGTGGATTAAATTAAAATTAAAAGTTTTTTTTCTCTTCGCCGGGATCCCTCTGAAGTTAAAACTGAATTTAAATCGACGTTTCGGCTTTTTAAAATATAAATCAAAATGGCGGATTGATGTCTCTGCTTCGCAGCCGCGCCTTGAGACCTATCGTGACAGTTACGTGACACACCAAATGTCAGGATATGTCACGATATGTCTCAAGCAACACCATTAGTCGTCAGATTAGCACTGCTTTGACCAAAAATGCGTCGAAATCACTGAGATAGTGACCTGTTAAGGTAGTTGTAGGTCACACGAACCTCAGTCTTTGTGTGACTTTCGTCCACTTTTTCTACTTCCATCTCTCTTGGAGCGCTGTTTACCACAAAAGCAAAAGTGTCGGACTCACTGAACTCTCTGAACATCTTGGTTTGTTTTGAATCCAACAGGGCAGAGCTTGTTTGGGATAAAAATGGAATACAGGTCACGTCCTTGCCACCAGGAGACGAAAATGGCGTGATTGAGTTAAGTGTTCAGAGTGGAGTGCGGGACCAGATTACTTTGATTGTGGAGAATAAAGGCACTGAGAAAATAACATTGAAGGATATCACTCTCCTGTGGAGCGTCAATTTCTTTGATTACTCAGGCATATCACATATTGGCTTGGATAAGGGGAACCTAATGCCAGGTAACGCTAAAAAAACGTTAATAACAAACAATTTAAGTGAAAAAATAAATAAAATAAAATAATAATAGTACCAAGTAACATTTTGATGACTCTGTTTGTTGCGTTATCGTTGCCCGGCCAACCTTGTTCGCTCTTTTGCGGGCGAAAACTCTCCAAATATTGATCCCGCGCGGTTTTCTCGTTATCTATGACCAACATTTGTAAAAGAATTAACTTGCAAGTAAAAGATTCTTTATCTGCAGCTCGCAGGTTACTTTTTCTTTTTCTTTCCACCTGGCTTACTGGTGAACGTTCTTTTCTACGAATGGCTGATTGACTCAGCTCAACAACCAAAGGAAAAGTAGTAGGGCTTTGTTATTAATTAAGATTAGTGGGCCTTCTTAAGCCCCGGCCAAACGATCGTAACATATCGCAACATTATTGGCTCAGTATTTGCAAACCCCGGCCAAAAGATCGCAACATTTCGACGCAACATATTGCAACATTGTTCGGCGCAACATGTTGCGCGCGTTTGGCCACGACGTGTTGCGACATGCTGGGTGTTACAAATCGAACTAGTGCGCATGCCCGGGCGTAACATTATTGCACGAACCTGGCCAAACCAGTACAACACCATGCAACATCCACAAATGATGCATAAAAAATTTGACCATTTTCAAACTTGACCCAACATCACCCAACACGTCGCAACACATCGCAACAGGGTGGCCAACTTTTTGCGCCCAACAATGTTGCGATCGTTTAGCCTGGGGCGTTACCTTCTATTTTGTTAAGTTTTCTTTTCTTTTTTTTTTTTTCAGGTAGAACAAGTGTCTTTGAAATTGGTTTTAGACCCCGGAGTGAGTATGGATACTCGTATGTTCCTGGTGTGCTGACATTCGAGCTTGCAGATGGAAAAGAATTTCATATCTTGAGGTTTTTAGCCGTGCAAGTTGTCAGTGATCTGTTCGATGATCTTAAGCCGACTTCAAAGTACCAACCCCCTCGCAAAGTACAGAAAGTTCCCTGGGATGTCAAAACCACACCAGGCTTACAACTTCCACCGTAAGTTGATTGACACCCCACTTCCCGCTTCCTTTACCCTCATCTCACTCGCTCATATCAGTAGCTTAACATCGAATTGAACTCGAAAGTCTCGTACAACCTATTCGAAAACGATGGTGACACTTCATGGGAATAAAGATAAAGAGCAGATAATGAAGCAGTGGACTCGTTCACTCGAGGATGACAATAAAAATAAAAGCGTGCTTGGAGGCTATTCTTTCCAACGAACGTAAATCTTACGTGTCTCCAAAGAGCCCATATTCGACGTTGTAATAGACCCGTAGTGAATACATATATATTTAAGTGTATCGTGAAAATCGGTTGTCGTAAGGCAATTTACCCTTTAAGCACAGAAAGTGGTTAATTTCCTCTCATCTCCGCTTTTCTGTATGTAGGTTGCAAAGAGATGGCCTGAAAATGGAGAGGTTGGACCGTTACGAAATTCCTCCCACTGTCATGGCGCAGCAAAACCGAGATGGACTGAGGTAAAGCGTACAGAGTAGCGCATAGATGATTAACTTGCTTCCCTTGGGAAACGTTTTTCATATTCATTGCTTCAGATATATGTGTTTCGTAATAGATGGTATTTAAAATCTGTAAAGTCAGCGCGTGGACGACTAGAGATTTAGAAATCAGTTCAAAGAGTGAGGTGTCAATGTGAGCTGTATACGATACCCCCCAAAAAGCTGTAGATAATGTCCCAAAAATAATATTAACTGGAAATGACCACTGCTCAATTTTTGTTTTAACAGGGACAAGCTACAGAAGCCGCTGAATTTTGACAACTATAAAGACAAATTTCGGTTACTTCTGCAGTTAGAAGAAATTCAAATGCAAAAAGACATCAGGCATTACGATATGAAGGAGGTAGAGTTTGAGCAAGATAGAACTGACAGAAAGTTCCTTACCTTAGAGGTGAGTACACATTTAAACTGTACATGTTTGAAATACGTTTTTCTCAGATTTGATCCCGACCTCCCGCCCTGTTGTATCCCTTCATTCTATAGGAAAAGGAATTATTTTATATCAGAAAGAAATGTAAAAAATGTTTTTTTTTT